GGAATTGAACCTGATGTCATCGACCCACAGGGCAACAACCATGTGTTTGGTCAAACTCCCTTATTTACCACACCAACCATCACCCACCGGAACAACCTGGACTCTGGAATAAATAAAAGTGGCAAGGAGATCGTGCATCTCTGCCGGGCCTTAGGCCTGTACATAGTTAACGGTAGGTTCAGAGGGGACTCTTTAGGTAGGTTCACATACTCCTCAGCTCTTGGATCTAGTGTAGTAGACTATGCAATCACTGACATGGACCCCTCCACTATCAGTGCATTCACTGTCAGACAACAATCCCCCCTCTCAGACCACAACCAAATAAATCTGTTCTTTAAACTCTCAGGTCAAATGAATGACATAAAAAAAGAACCCAGTAAGCTGTTTAAATTAAATGCTACTTACCGATGGGCCCCAGACAGCGGACACAAATTCATCATGGCCTTGAACTCACCTGATCTGATAGATGACATATCAATATATGACCAGCAACAATATATCCACACCAGAGACGGTGTAAACAAGGCCATTGATGATATCAATATGATATCAATATTTCACAAGGCAGCTATTAAAGCTGACCTTATAAAACAAGCACGGAAGCCTGTAAAAAGGCAAAACACGGAAAAATGGTTTGATCAAGAATGCAAGAGCATCAGAAAAGACCTGAGAAAAATAGCAAATGAAAAACATCGCCAACCAAACAACCCAGCCTTACGCATCAGGTACAATGACATTTTAAACACGTATAAATGTACAATTAGGAACAAAAAACAAAATTATACCCACATGAAACTTGAAGATATTGAGAACGCCATTGATCAAAATCAATTCTGGGATATGTTGAACAACTTCAACCACAGGCATTACCCATCCAAGATGGTGACATCTGGAGAGCACATTTTGAACATTTGTACAAAGATATACCAATAAATCAAACTAACTCAGACCAATATATTACAAAAGAAAAACTCCAAACATTAGAAGAAATAATTAAAGACAACCAGAACACCCTTGATTTCCCAATGACTTGGGAAGAACTGAGCACACAGACAAAGTGTCTCCGGCCAAGGAAAGCTTGTGGTCCAGACAGCATCAAAAATGAGATGCTCAAATGCAGCACCCCAGAGATGCAGGGTGCAGTGTTGAAGTTGTTCAACATCATATTACAATCAGGGTGTTTTCCTGACTCCTGGAGCAAAGGGCTCATTTCACCCATTCATAAGAGTGGTGACAAGTCAGACCCTAGTAACTACCGGGGCATCTGTGTCAGCAGCTGTCTCGGTAAATTATTCTGTAGTATTCTCAATAAAAGAATACTACATTTCCTTGACGAACACTCCATCTTGAGTAAAAATCAAATTGGCTTCCTCCCAAAACACCGGACCACCGAGCATGTATATACCCTTCATACTTTAATTAACAAACATGTCCACCAAACAAAAAATGGTAAAATATTTGCTTGTTTTATTGATTTCAAGAAAGCCTTGGATTCTATTTGGCATGAAGGGCTCTACTACAGACTCCTACAGTGTGGGATAGGGGGCAAAGTATATGATCTGGTTAAATCAATGTATTTGGAAAATAGATGTGCTGTTAAAATTGGAGACAAACAAACTGAATCCTTCACCCAGAAAAGAGGTGTTCGTCAGGGTTGCAACTTAAGTCCGACTTTATTTAATATATATATAAATGAACTTGCTGTTGAGTTGGATCAATGTGCTGCTCCTGGGCTCTCCCTCCTAGAGAGAGAGGTGAAGTGTCTGCTTTATGCCGATGACCTGGTTCTACTGTCTCCTACTGAACCAGGACTACAGCAACAGCTGGACAGAGTGCAACAGTTCTGTCACAACTGGGCCCTGGCAGTGAACATGAAGAAAACCAATGTCATGATTTTCCAAAAACGCCCCAGATGTCAGGAGAACAAATACCAGTTTACCATAAACACCAACATGATTGAACATAGTATGAGTTATACCTACCTTGGTATCAGCATAACTGCATCAGGGAGTTTCAACATGGCAGTAAATGCACTAAAAGAAAAAGCTCCAAGAGCTCTACACGCAATTAAGAGAACATTTTATAATTAAAAATCCCAATTAAAATCCATGGGAGGAGTTCGGGGAGGCCATGGAGAAGGACTTTCGGTTGGCCTCAAGGAGGTTCTGGCAAACCATCCGACGGCTCAGGAAGGGAAAGCAGGGCTTACCCCAGGCTGTTCTCACCAGGGGGGGGGAACTGCTAACCCGGACGGAGGACATCGTCGGGCGGTGGAAAGAGCACTTTGAGGAACTCCTAAACCCGACCAACATGTCCTCTGCAGAGGAGGCAGCGCCTGAGGACCTAGGGGGAGGCTCACTCATATCCCTGGCAGAGGTCGCCGAGGTAGTCAAAAAGCTCCTTGGTGGCAAGGCGCCGGGGGTGGATGAGATCCGCCCTGAGATGCTGAAGGCGCTGGACATAGTTGGGCTGTCCAGGATGACACGCCTCTTCAATGTCGCATGGGGGTCGGGATCAGTGCCCATGGAATGGCAGACCGGGTGGTGGTTCCCATCTTCAAAAAGGGGCGCTGGAGAGTGTGCTCGAATTACCGGGGTATCACACTACTCAGCCTCCCGGGGAAGGCTTATGCCAGGGTGCTGGAAAGGAGGCTCCGACCGCTTGTCGAACCTCAGATTCAAGAGGAGCAGTGCGGATTCCGTCCCGGCCGTGGAACAGTGGACCAGCTCTTTACCCTCGCAAGACTACTGGAGGGATTCTGGGAGTTTGCCCAACCAGTCTACATGTGCTTTGTGGACTTGGAGAAGGCTTTCGACCGGGTCCCTCGGGGGTTCTTGTGGGGGGTGCTGCGGGAGTATGGGGTGCCGGACCCGCTACAACGGGCGATCCGGTCTCTGTACGACTGCAGTAGGAGCTGTGTCCGCATTCTCGGCAATAAGTCAGACACGTTCCCGGTGGGTGTTGGCCTCCGCCAGGGCTGCCCTTTGTCACCGGTCCTGTTCGTGATTTTCATGGACAGGATATCTAGGCGCAGCCTGGGGGCGGAGAACGTCAGTCTCGGGGGTCTCGGGATCGCTTCTCTGCTATTTGCAGATGATGTGGTCCTGTTAGCCTCCTCGGATCATGACCTCCAGCATTCACTGGGGCGGTTTGCAGCCGAGTGTGAAGCGGCGGGGATGAGAGTTAGCACCTCCAAATCTGAGGCCATGGTTCTCTGCCGGAAACCGGTGGATTGCTCCCTCCAGGTGGGGACGGAGTGCCTACCTCAAGCGAAGGAGTTCAAGTATCTCGGGGTCTTGTTCACGAGTGAGGGTAAGATGGAGCGGGAGATCGACAGACGGATCAGTGCAGCTGCAGCAGTAAAGCAGGCGCTGCACCGGACCGTCTTGGTGAAGAGGGAGCTGAGCCGGAAGGCAAAGCTCTCAATTTACCACTCGGTCTACGTTCCTACCCTCACCTATGGTCACGAACTCTGGGTCGTGACCGAAAGGACAAGGTCGCGGCTACAAGCGGCCGAAATGAGTTTCCTCCATAGGGTGGCCGGGCTCAGCCTTAGAGATAGGGTAAGGAGCTCGGTCATCAGGAGGGAGCTTGGAGTAGAGCCGCTACTCCTTCGCGTCGAAAGGAGTCAGCTGAGGTGGTTCGGGCATCTAATTAGGATGCCTCCTGGACGCCTCCCACTGGAGGTTTTCCAGGCACGTCCAACTGGGAAGAGACCCCGGGGAAGACCCAGAACACGCTGGAGAGATTACATCTCCCAGCTGGCCTGGGAACGCCTCAGGATCCCCCAGAATGAGCTGGAACATGTTGCCGGGGAGAGGGGAGTCTGGGTCAGCCTGCTGCCTCCGCGACCCGACCCCGGATAAGAGGAGGAAGATGGATGGATGGATGGATGGATGGCAGTATTATTGATACATTATAATTATTAACATTCCAGAAGAGGAACAACAGTCTGAATAAAGACCTGAAGATCATTAGACCCTTTAGGTTTCAGACCTGCAGCCATAAAACAGGACCCCAGACCTGGACCTGGTCTGAGATGCGTCCCGGGTTGGGTCTTTGTTTCTAGGAACCGAGTGAAGACCTGCAGTCTATCTAGTGCCTTGCTGAGAGGCTCCGCGGCAGGATGAACAGTGTTTTCTGTCTCAAGCTGTCCGTCATCACATCAGCAGCCGTCACGTCTCATTTCCTTCCCGCTCCACTTCCTGTTTTCGACAGGAAGACTTAAAAATAGAGCTGTCAATCAGGCGGCGGGCCCGGGACCGCTGGGGCTCAAACCGACGCTCAGGAGGATTAATTATAGTCATTTACCAAAACGGTCACTTTGAAACGTCAGCGTGATCGAGACAGATGAGAAAAGAAAATTTCAATCATCGACGGGACGAAGACCTGAGACGTAAACGAGATATTTTAACATGAAGACGTCCTAAACTGTGATTACTGCTTTTAGATGAGAGGAGACGCTGAGAGACAGACAGCTGAGAGACAGACTGTCTGTCTGTCTGTCTGTCTGTCTCTCTGCATCATATCCACAGAAACAGTGTAACTATTGATTAGTTTTGATCATCAGTAACCATGACGGCCAACATGAACTGTAGAACGAGAGAAACAACGTGTCTGTGAAATCATTCATATATATAATAACAACAATAACAACAACAACAATAACAACAACAATAATGTGAATAATGATGATGTATTTATTGAGAAACAGGACAAACTGTGTAAAATTCCAAAAACCACATTCCACTGTTTGTTCATAACAGATAATAAATAATAACTTCAGGACTACGTGACTCTAAACCATTCTGAATATTTATACTTTTTATTTTCACACAAAACAGATGAACTCTGAGACGAGAACTTCTGAAGAGGAAGTTAGCCTGAGGGGATGTTCACACACACACTCACACACACACACACACACATACACTTACACACACACACATACACATACACACACACACTCACACATACACACACACGCACACATACACATCCACACACACACACTCTCACACACACACACACACACACACACACACACACACACACACAGTGAGGATCAGAGGGAGCTGAGGACTTCTTTACCCATAAGCCCTGAGTAATGAGGATGATATATAGAGAAGATGTGAATATATACTGTACATATATATATATACACACTTGACTTCCTGTGTCCAGGTGTCAGTCAGCTGTCAGTCTGCTCTCCAGAGACTCAAACACAGAGTGAGGGTCCTGATCAGCATCTATACGACCTGCATGTGGATACACACACTGTACACACACACACACACACACGTCAAACAGGAGGAAGTTTGAGTCAGAATGAACTACAGTGTGATGATGAAGATGATGATAACACATCAGTGAGTATGCATGTGTGTGTGTGTGTGTGTACCTGCAGGGCAGCAGTGTGTGTCCTGTGCTGACTCAGTGTGTGTGTTACAGAGTGTGTGTTGTCCTCTGGTCTGGTCTTCAGTCTGTTCTGGACCTCAGAGCTCGGAGCCGGTCGAGTCACAGCGTGGAACCTGCAGGAAGATATATGTAATATAATATATACATATATATATATAATACAGTATATGTATAGATGTATATATTAGATTACAGTGTGTAGAGCAGTTGAACTGGTTCCACTGACCTCTGTCCACTGACTGGGTCTGTAGCTCTCAGAGAGATTCTCTCCACACAAACTTCATCCGTCAACTCCAGGAAGAAGACTCTGAGAGCAGAGAGGTCATCATTAGGGCCCGAGCACGACGTCGTCGGAGCGGAGGACCTATTGTTATTCTAATGTTTATTATTATTATTATTATTATTATTATTTTACATGTTTCGTCGCAAAAAGGAGGTGCTTGTAATACTGGGAATTTTTTAATTTGGCACACAAGCCAGAATTTGCGAAAATTGCAGTCTGATTGGGGTGTCCAGCTGCGGTATGAAATATTGGCTCGATAGCGCCCCCTATTGAGTAGCCCCAACACCGGGTTTCACCTAGCTGTATGAAATTTGGTAGGTATGTGGATCGTGATGGGACGTACAAAACATCCTCTTGGAATTTTTCTCTAAACCAAACAGGAAGTCGGCCATTTTGACTTTTATGATGTTTTTGGACCGTTCCAAGGCGTCGTACTTTAACGAACTCCTCCCAGAGATTTGACCCGATTGACTTCAGATCTAGTCAGTATGCTCTTGAGACCTTGGCAGTGAAAAGTTACTCAAAGATCAAAAAGTTATCGAACTATGTGTCCGTGGCGTGGTGTCAAAAAAACACCATTTGCCGCGAAACAGGAAGCTGTTGTAACTCGGCCGTACATTGTCGAATCTGCTCCAAATCTCTCATATGTCATAACATCCTGACCCGGAACACATCTATATGATAATTTAGAATAATAGTAATAGCGCCACCTAGTGGCAACTGGAAGTTGTAAGTTGTGTACTTTGACATCCTGCTCCTCACAGATTAATCAGATCTCTCTAAAATGTTGTCAGAACAGCCTTAAGACCTTGATAATGCTTCATTGTGAAGATTGTAAGAAGTTGTTGAAGGGCGGCGACGTGGCGGTTTGGCGAATTTCGATCCTTCGCCATGAACGAATAAACTGATGTAACTCAACTCCACATCATCAGATCTTCACCAGATTGCACATGTCTGATTAGACTCCAGGCCTGAAGACATCTGCAGGCCAATTTTGAATCATAGTCATAGCGCCACCTACTGGTAACAGGAAGTTAAAGTCTTTATACTTTGGCTCAAATCAAATCAATTTCAAATTAGTTCCACACAAATGTAAGAAGTTCATAATGCCAGTTCATGAAGCTTTTGATGTTTTGTGGAACGCCGTTGCCGTGGCGACGCAGTCTTCGCCGTGAAAAACGAAGGTGTTTTTGAGGGGCTAAAAATGCTTGAAACATAAACAAACTTGTCACACAGATTTAAAATCCTGAATGTAGTTATCTGATGTGATTTTAATGTTTCAGAGTGGCAAGTCGGCTCGATAGCGCCCCCTACAATATTTTGACGATGCAGCCCTCGCAGTATGTTTCACCTAGATGTATAAAATTTGGTAAGCAGATGTATCACATGTAGACTTAAAAAAAAGTATTAGGGGTCTAAGCTGTAAACCCAACCGGAAGTCAGCCATTTTGTATTTTGTATGAATTTCTAGTGTCGTTTTTGCTATTTACAGGTGCTGTACTTTAATGTCCTCCTAGGGAATTAATCAGATCAATTTAGAATTTGGTCAGAACAATCTAAAGACCTTAGCGATTAAACGTTCCTAAAAGCTTTAGGTTTCATTGAACAACGTGGATATGGTGTGGCGGCCATTTTACATGGTTCGCCATCATCCATCAAGCTGTTGTAACTCGACTGTACTTTGTCAAAACTGTCCCAAACTTGACATGCTTGTTGACTGTCATGGCTTTAGGACTTCTGCATGCCAACATTAACTCATTGTCATAGCGCCACCTACTGATAAGCACGGACATAAGCAGGATTCTATAATTACAGCGGCCCAAACACTGAACTTATTGAAAGGGTTTGTGGGCACACCATGAGAAAAAGACTTCTCTGATCTAAATATGTGCAAACTAAGATGCTTGGAGAGCAAACGTTAGATAACAGTGGATTCTCAAACCATGTCAGTGGGCATTAGTATTAATGATCTGTCCAGAGCTTCTTCATGACAATCAGGTTAAACGTTACAATGAATGCTTCACACTACAATCTAAAGTTACAGAAGAACTTAAAATGAAAACAGTGTTAAATTAAAGTGTTCAAGTAACAGCAAATGGCACTACTGTTTTGTTAACTTTCATGTAAGTCCAAATACAATCAGCAGGACACTGCAGGGAGTTGAACCCCATCCCAGTAAACTGACAGTCTGTTATGTTACAAACACTGAAGCACATTCACACACATTCATTTTCTTAATGATCTTAACAGGCTTACATTTATGATTGTATCGGAGGTACACTCAAAACATTTGAGGCTTAAGACCTGGCAACATGATCTTGCTACGCTGCTGGTCTACGCAGGAAATATCATCTCACTCGTGCACGCAGAGTGTGATGGTCACAGAAATTCATGGCCGCGTCACCCAGAGAGATACCAGGACCCTCGATGAGCGTGAAGTTGAGAGGCCCGATCAATGCTGTGTGGTAGTAGTAGTGGTAGTGGTAGCAGTTGTAGTAGTAGTAGTAGTAGTAGTAGTAGTAGTAGTACCTATTGGGGGGGTGGATCTCCTGCAGGCTCTTGGCCTGCTGCAGGTCACAGGGGAAGCCGTGAAGGATCCAGCCTCTACAGCTGCAGTCCACTCGGCTCAGACGTTCCTCCAGAACCTGCAGCACCAGGGAGTCTGGAACTGAACCAGCAGGTTCATCAACATTTAATAATCAGTCAGAAGAAGAGCAGTAAAGGAAGTGCATGTCAGCCAGTGTGTCTGGTGAAGAAAACAACAACATGGCCGCATTGTGTTCCCCGTTCCTCTGCATCTCTCTACATGAGGACCAACTGGTTCTTGAGTTGGCTGATGGGGAACATGTCAGCCGCTGATCGTTGAACACATCAAACACTCTGCTGTCACGTGATGCACTGTGGACCACGTTGAAGAATGAAAGCAATGGGGGAGGACTGGTAAAAACCCCAGGGGCTGCTGGGATGCAGACGCAAATCAAACTGTTTCATGTGCACTTGAAATAACCAATCACTCTGTCACAGATAACGTGTGTGTGTGTGTGTGTGTGTGTGTTACCTGGCCTCCCAACATCCAGGTATGACTGGATCTCTTCTCCCACAGCTGAACCATCAGCTGCTACAGACCTCAGCAGCCGACCACAGCACACTGAGAGACAGGACCATGTTAACATGATACAGAGGAGACGAGATCAACATGTAAACAGATGTGTGTGTGTGTGTGTGTGTGTGTGTGCGTGTGCGAACCGTCCACCATCTTGTATTTCTGTGACAACAGTCTGGCCTGATGACTCTTCCCCGACCCTGGAGGACCCAACAGGAGGATTCTGGGTGTTCTGGAGCGACGGCGAGTCCGGACGAAAGCCAGCACTGAGACACACACACACCCAGTATCATGTACCTTCCCATTGATTAGTGTGTGTGTGTGTGTGTACCTTGCTGGTAGACGTCAGCGTGTGGTTGGTCAGCGTTGACGACCTTCAGGACGTGCTGGTAGGCTGCTTTCAGACCTGTGACCTCACAGCGGTGACGCTGCAGCTCAGCCTGTCGCTGCTCCTGTGATATGCTCCGCCCCTCCTCCAGACGCTGAGCCACAAGGCCGGCGATCGGCCACACGAAGGTCCGATGGTACACGTCTACAGACAGGAAGTGATGACAGAGTGGCGTTAGTGTTGGACTTCCTGTTGGACCCTGTCTGATCTTCATCCCTCCAGGTCTGGGTTCTGTTGGAGTTACAACATGGAGCTCGTACTGAACTCCACTTCCCATGGTGCACCAGTGTTGAGTGAAATGAACCAGACTCACCTCCTGTCAGCGGGTCGACCATCTTCCCCCGACTCCTCTCCAACAACACATCATCAGGAGCCTCCAACAGCACTACACAGACACACAGACACACACACAGACACACAGACACACACACACACACACAGACACACACACACACACACACACACACACACACACACACACACACACA